GGGTAAAGAGAAAAACAGCGACACCATAAAGACCACCTGATGCAAGAGATTCAAAAAGCAAGAAGGAAGACAGAAACGACAGAGAATGAAAAAAAGCTAGGACCTGCCAGTGGCGCCCTCCAAACACCATTTTTAAAAACGGCCTGTGTGCCGTAAGATCAACAGAACGACTATCGGGCTGGTTCCCCATCAGGTCTGGGGTGAGGTAAGGGTGTGTTCTCTTTCTGCTTCTCTTCATCACTTACATTGATAAGATCACGAAAGCAGCAAATGACAATATCGCCGATAATTCTAGGGTAGCGAAGTGTAGCGAAACAGCTGACCAAGTCAATCAATTGTAGGCCTAAGCGTTTCCCAGCGCCATTACCATCGACACCATTTTAGATGACTGCTTCGACCCTGCCTGTCAGGACCCACACGGGTTGGGTGTGGTACAGCTTCCTAGCGGACAGACCGAGATACTCGATTAAAATCTTCACCACCAGGAAATCGAACTCACATCTCCTGCATGCGAAGGCACAGAGTCCAACCGCTATAGATCTACCACAGACGCCAGTGGCTTACGAATTTGCCTAACTTTCTACATTCGAGGTTCAAACTCAGGTGGGTCCAAATGATTTTTTTTTTCGTTCAACGTACGTATTGCAATTACATGTATAGGCACGGGTGTCTTGATACAGGAACTTGTTCGGTTGTCTAAATAAAGTTAAACTATCTAATTTAAGAAAGCCAAAACAAAGTGCTGGTCCTCCGTCTAATTCTCGCAGTTGCTAAACTAAAAGAGCATCATGAATTCATGAGCAATTGACTCTTTTGTTGCAAAATTATTATGTCGGTACACAGCATATTTGAACATATTTTGATTTAACAACAGGAAGTGCTTTTTTGCCCAAATTAAAAAAAAAAAGTTAAAGGCAACAAATACATGTATGCCAACTAAACACACACAAAATAAACAATCTTGTTCACACAATGGAGGCTACCCTGCCAACACAAGAGATACGAATGGAAATTGGAGATCAAGTTCTCAGGGTTTTTATAATAATACATATAATTTAAAGGGGAAAAAATAGCATAAGTTATGACTAGAACTGAAACAGTTCCTCACGGCAACTCCTCCCCCGCACCCACAAAAAACAGATAGGCTTTTAGACTATATGTAATAAAATTGATGTACCGGTAATTATGCTGTCTCCTGCTGTCACTTTGCTTATGTTTCAATACAACTCCC